ACTGCGCCCCGGCGCGGCCCGGGCCATCCCGCCTGGGCTAGGCCTCGGCCAGGCAGGGCTTTGTCTTACGGGCCCCGGAGCGGCTCCGGGGTGGTGAGGAGGGGAGCGGCAAATCCCGGCCCCTTCCTCTCAGTGGCCCTCGAACTGAGGCTAGCCAGTGACTTGGCATTAGCAGAGGCAGACGTGTGGTGCCGGCCTGGCCCTTGTGGCAGGCGGGGGATGTTTTTAGTCTCCGGTGTCTTGCCTCACTCTGTTTTCAGTTCCAGGCTGAGGATCATCTTTCGTGCTCCTCAAAAAAGAGTTGAGTAATAGTGGTCTCTTGACTCCTAGCCCACGTGTGCAAGCTACTTCTTGCTCCTCAAGAACAGTAAAAATAGAAACGAAAATTTCCCAAACCCAAGAGTACTTGAAGTGACTTTTTGGCATTGCCAGAGGTGCTTTTGGTCCTTTTAGTATCTGTTGTTTATGTTCTCCTTTTCTTTTGCAACTCCTGAAATTCAGACCTGCTTGGTCCTAGTGCGTTCCAGCAAGGTGTGCCAAAAATTTTGTGTCCATGCTAGAGCTTGTGATGGAAGTGGTGGTGTCAGAAGCATGTTTTGCAGCTGAGCAAGGGGAACAGTGTCTTTAAGAGGAATTTCTACTTTACAAAAGTTCTTCACACAAGAATCAACAGAAGGTACTTTGCAACTGGAAAACAGCTACTTTTTAGTTGCCATTTTTGGGTCAATGCTGCTAGCAGCCATCTTGCTGAACTGAGCCGTAGCATTGCAAGAGCTAAGAGAGTGTGGTTTCTGAAGATTCTCGTTTTCGTGTACTTACCTGTCTGAAATAGTGTTTGAGAACTTGGCATGTAGAGCACAAGTATGAGCTCACCACTTGGTTGTCATGCTGTTCCAGTAAGTGGCTGCAGTCATCAGATACCTCATTTGTTTGCTTCAATGGATAAAATGTTTTATGGATTTTTTTTTTTTTTAATACCAGTTCAGTCTGTAACATGGATGTTCAGAGTAGTTAGAAACTGCTGACAAGTTTTATCTTGGAAGTGAGTTCATTAGGATATTAATAAAAAGGCACACCAGCATACAGAGTGCGTGACTGTTTTCACTTTCATTACTGCAGCTGGAATCAGTTTGAGTCAGTGCCTTTCCATTATATTTTTATCACAGACTTGCAGGAACAACTTATTTCCTTAGTTTAAGTGGCGCTTTGGAGGTTGGCAGGTGTTTTGAGAAGAATCACTAACTGGTAATTGCTTTATACTCTTGCTCTTCATACCATTCACCATAATGCATAGCCTCTGGATGTCGTCGCATGCTGAATGAGGGGAGCTCTGACACAAAGGAAAACAATGAAGTGATGCAAGTTCTAAAAAGTCATGTGCCCCATACCTCTTTGCTGTGTCAAGTGGGGCTGTTGGACTGCTTTACTGGGAGTGAAAAGGGGGCAGAGGATGGGAACCAGGAACCTGTTATTTTCATCTTTAGGGCTAGTACATATTTGCTTCAATTTTATTGATGTCTTGTGCTTTATATGCAAGTTTGGCCATTAGCTCTGCTTGGAATTGTGTCCTCACTTCTGGCTTCTGTCTAGGGGCAGGCTTAATGCAGACTTTGAATTTCATTTTAGTTCCAACACAGTTCTAAATCTACATTTTGTGTTGACTTTGAGTCTGTGAAGGAAAGGAGTGAGAGGAAAAGTGTATGAGGGAGCTGACAAAAGGGGTGAGTAGGGAAGGTGATCTAGAGGAGTTGCACCAGGCTGTCTCTTGTGAGAAGCTCATTGAAGAGCTTTAAAAGTTACCTAGGTTAGCTGTCTGCCCTACCCTTTGCTGAAGTTTACCGGCAGGCATGTGAAAGTTGGCAGAGAGCTGCAACCAATGCCTTAGGCTTTCCTTGCTATTTTCAGTCAGGCTCTCTGATACACAGATGTCAGCGATTGTCTGAGCGTGGTTGAGGTGCACAGACATATTTTGTGCCGTCATCTCAGTTGCAGCGTGTGGAACCCCCAGGAGAGATGCAATGAGGGCAAATGGTGATGATAGTAATATCCTAATTTGCTCCTGGAAGATGGGTAGTGCTTGTCTCTTGAAGTCCTTACCCTCATCTGTAGGAGAAAAAAACATCACTCTTCTGACGTGTAATTTCATAACACCTTTGTTTCTTTGTCTGCAGAACTGTCAGGTCAGGTAACTGAAGCTGACCTCGCACATTTAGATACCTGCATGCTGTTTCTTGGAGACCTGTATTTCATTTTTAATGCCTCCAAGCTTTTTGATTGCTTTAAGTGCAGTAATGTATTGAGAATGTAAGTAATGCAGTAATGTATTGATCCAGCCCTCCCATCTTACTTAGGAAACTGTAGATTCAGTTCTTCAGTACTAAAATTTTTTTTCCTCACATTGCGCAGAGCAAAGTGGAGCTCTTGCTGTGCTCTTCAGCACTACTCTGTGTCAGTAGGTATCTGAACTTCCTTTCTGGATTATACAGCTTTTGGTTTATTGACTGTTTTGGTCCAAAAGCTTCCACTTGCTGCCCAGTTCTTCTTCGATTTATTTTTATCTTGTGTCCCAGACTGGTTTTTAGGCTGCACGGCAGGCTCTGCATCCTGAGGGACAGACACTCAGTTTCAGTGACAGTTTGTCTAGCCAAAGTCTGCCAGCGGTTTCTTATCAAAGGCTTTTGGATCCAGATCTCACATGCGGAGGGGTATGAGTTACATTCACACTTCGAACAGGCTAAATAGGAGTATTGTTTCTTTCTGGTGTCCCTTAGCTCAAGTTTTAAAATCTACCTGCTAAATTAATTTACAGTATCCAGGAGCTAATGCTGAGGCAAGGTCCTTACAAGTAAGTTGTTGTTTTTATCCACTCTTTCAACCACAAGATCCTGTCTGACCTGACAATGTATTGGTTCAGTTTTCTTATTCTCTCTTGGTTTTCCCTGGAAATCCCAGATGTTTTAGAACTGTATCAAGACCACATTTTAGGTTGAAGATGGAATTAATGAGCTTCTTTCAGGATGTATACAGTAGCCTTTCTTCAGTCTTTTTGGGTTCAGGGAATGGATCTGTAACATCTCACATGGTCATTGAACAGATGGCTATCGATGTCCTACCTCTTGTACTCTTCAACAAAGCGAGGAAAACACTATTTTCTCTGTGCTGCCAGTCCAGGAAAGACACGTTTTACAATTCCTCCTTTCGTTCATTTAAAACAATGTTGTTTCTCGTTCTCAACATGTTTCCTATGCTACCAGGGCTTATGTGAAGCTTGAAAACCTCTTGGAAACAATCTAGCTGCCCTTATAGGCATGCTCTGTATTGTTCCCCCATTAAGTGTTAGAGAAAGGAGACAATATTGCATAGTCTGTTTTGGAAAGACCTCGATCTTGAGGTGCAGGGGCACCTCGGGTAGCATCACGCTGTGGGTATGTCACCCCTCTCTGATGTACTTTTAAAAATGCAGTGAGTGTGCCAAGTGACGCACTGCTGCCACAGTCTGCATTTGTGCTGTGTATCTGTTTGCTCTGCCACTTCCACTCAAGGTTTGATTTCTTCTGGTTATTTTGTCCCTAGAAGAGAGAAATGGAGCCAAAGTGTACAGCCAACACCATTGTCCACAAAGCTTCCTACTCAGTGCCAGTGTTTACAGCTTGCTGAGGTCAAAGGAAGAGGTTTTTTTTTTCTTTTCTTTGTCAGAATCAAACCAAATTGTGCAAAGTTTTCTGTTCCAGCCTTAGACACTGACACATCTGGAATACTTTGAGAAACTAGTCAAGTGCCCACCAAGGGAAGTTACAACAGTCTGCCACTGTTGTGGCAGTCTGAGGTAGAGCTCCTCAGGAATCAGTTAGTTTAAGTTCATATTTCTTTCACAGAATTAATTATTTGAATTATTGCTGGATTTTGAAGGAAATTACTTAATCTGCCCTTCTTCCGTTTCTTTGCTGTTTAATTTGCTCCATTTTGCCAAAGCAAGCAAATTATCTGTCATATTTCTTGTAGCGTAGTGGGCTAGAGCTGCAGCGACTCCTGTGAAGGTATTATGGAAAGGTGCTTATATCCTAAAAAGAAACCCTGATTTTCATGAGTACTTGCATATTTCTACTGGCTTGCTAGGTTTAACTAATAGGCCTCGACAGGCTAAACTCTTACAACTCTTCCTGTCAGGGGAGCTGCAGCATTGTGCTTTAATTCCCCTATGTATCTGGGATTTGACACCAAATAGACTTGAACTTTTGTTTTGGTAGCAGTGCTTACATGTGATTTCAGATGAGTCTGACTAATTCTTTTAGGCAAAACATCTTACAGTCAGCAACATCTCACAGACCACTTCTTTTCATAGATAGCTTCATAGCTGTTTCCATTTGAGGCTAGTAAAGTGGGTATATTTTCTGACAGAAAACATTGTACTTTGAACTCCTGCAACTGGTGCCTGGGAAGAATGTTCTGCTTTGTCTTACAAACAAGGATAATTTCTAGAAGACAAGACAACAAAGAAACTTGTAGAAAATGGAGATGAAAATGGGGGGGGAGGGATGGCTGGAAAGAGGGGAGCAGTATCACTTAGCCTCATAATTTTTGTTTTCTTTGGCAGTTCCAAAGCAGATGACTTATCGACTGCTATTCTGAAGCAGAAGAACAGGCCCAATCGGTTAATTGTTGATGAAGCCATCAATGAAGACAACAGTGTTGTGTCACTGTCCCAGGTGCGTCATCTGTAAAAGCAAAGCACTCAGTCTGGTAATTTGCAAGCTGTTGCTGTGTCTTAACTTGAAATGTAACTTTGCAACATGAATCTTAAGTATTTGTGTCAGAAGCTGCAGCTCGTAGTGAGGGAGGGTTGTCTTGTTTCCTAACACTCTTCTGTGATAAAATGTATTTTCATTCTCAGTTTGCAGGATTCAGTTGATCTTGTGCCCTTAATCTGGCGTCAGGATTAGCTCTCCACCAGTGTAGTGGGAGCCTCTGTCCTTGTGGATTTAGTACATCACTTCTGAGATGTAATTCTCCAAAGTCAAGTAACTGTCCTTCAAATGCCTGAATTCTTGTTTTGTCAGCAGCTTGTTCTAATGCCGTTACTGTTTACAGGCAAAAATGGACGAATTGCAACTGTTTAGAGGAGACACTGTTCTGCTAAAAGGAAAGAAGAGGAGAGAAGCAGTCTGCATTGTTCTGTCAGATGATACCTGCTCAGATGAGAAGATTCGCATGAATAGGGTTGTTCGCAACAACCTGAGGGTGCGCTTGGGTGACGTGATCAGGTGAGGACTCATTGGCTAACTGTTGCATATCACTAGGATGCCTAAATAATTTGTGTGCTGGCTCTGAATTCATTGAGTCAGTAGCAGAGACAGGATTTGTAGGAGACATTCTTATGTCTTCCAGAGGAGATAAACAGAAATGTTTTCAAGTGTGTGGCTTACATCATGGTCTCCATTTACTTCTGCATGTCTTTCTGGCTGTATGCAGATTCATATTAATACTAGAAAATGATGCTAAAGATGCTTGAAGTCTCTTCAGGACCTTTACGAGCCCAGGCCCTGACATTAAATTGAGTGGTTCATTCATCCCACCGTTGTCTCAGTCATCTTGCAAAGTTCAAATTTTTCACTAATTTTTCTTGTCTAAATTTTTTCATGTCTATAGTGTTAACTGTGGAAGGCATTAAGCATCATTGTAATTGATCTCATAGTATCTGAGCTGCCACACAATGAACAGAAGTTAAAAATTGCTAAAAATGGTGACAAAAACGTGAAACAGTCAAATAGCAATATTAAAAGGATGTTTATATTCCTATTAAAAAAAAAAAACAACTTTAAAATCAGGAATGCTTTAAAAGTATTGCAGGGATTTTGTTGTTCAATGCTTGCAGAAAGCATTGAAGTATATACATCTTGGCTGATGGGAGACAGGTTCCATTCTGTGATGGGAGTGGGGAGAAAAATGTATGAGTATTTCTTAAACGTGAAAATGCTTCGTGCTTAAATATGGGAGGGCTGACAACTCCTCCTCCTGAGCATCTTCCTACACTGGAATATCCTACATGTTCTGGGAAAATTGGAGTCTGGTTTCTGATACTAGACTTCCTGGGGTGGTATCTGGAATAATCTTTAAATGAAAAATGTATTTTCTGCAAACTTTGTACAGGGGAGAAATAAGACTGTTACACCCATCTCCCTACCACTAGAAAATGCAAGTTTTAAACACCACTGTAGTTGGAACAGAACAGTGCTTTTAACCAGTCTGTGCATTTGAAATAAAGGTGAATCCTTACTTCAACCTGATGTGAGGTTACTGTTGAGTTGCTTCCAGTATGACAGTTCAGCCTGTGCTCTCCCCTTCTCTGATGGGACTGTGTCCGTAGTGGTGCTCAGCCTTCCAAATGTGCTACCCGTTGTCTTTGCTTTGTTGCAAGGGTCAGAGAATTTTCACACCTCTTGCCCTCAAAGTTTTTCTTGATGATCGTTAACTGCTTATTGTGTTACTTTCTGTGACCTGGTTTCTGCCAAAATCCAGATTCATGTGCATTTCCAGCTTGTGGTCTGTCAACTGTTTTCCTTCTACGACAGTCTGTCTTTTCTGTTACCCTTTCTGCTATATCCTCTCGGTAAAGCACATGGTAAAATAATCTATTAAGGGTCTCTAAAAAAAGTCATGTGTGAAAAGTCCCCTCAACACAAGAAGGACGTCGAGCTGTTGGAATGGGTCCAGAGGAGGGTCACGAAAGTGGTCAGAGGGCTGGAGCACCTCCTGTACAAGGACAGGCTGAGAGAGTTGGGGTTGTTCAGCCTGGAGAAGGCTCCAGGGGGATGTTATAGTGGCCTTCCAGTACCTAAAGGGGGCCTACAGGAGAGATGGGGAGGGGCTTTTTACAAGGGCATGCAGTGACAGGACAAGGGGTAATGGATTTAAACTGAAAGAGGGTAGATTTAGACTAGATATTAGAAAGAAATATTTTACTGTGAGGGTGGTAAGGCACTGTAACAGGTTGCCCAGAGAAGCTGTGGATGCCCCATCCCTGGAGGTGTTCAAGGCCAGGCTGGATGAGGCTTTTGAGCAGCCTGGTCTAGTGGGAGGTGTCCCTGCCCACGGCAGGGGGGCTGGAACTGGATGAGCTCTGAGGACCATTCTGATCCAAACCATTCTATGATGACTCTGTGAAAAGTTGCATGCTCAGCTGCAGTCCTGTGTAGGGTTTTCTCAGCTGGGAAAGTCAGTCTGAGCTTTTTGCCACAGCTTGGTGCTCTGAGTGATCACTACAGCAGGCTGTTGTCCTACACTTAAAAATAATAACTGTAGTGTTTATTTTAAAAGGGGGAAGGTTCCTTGGGGCTTTAACCTAAATGTCAGCCTCCACAAAGTGGGACTGACAGACACCTGGCTGCAGGCTGGTTACCCCTGGTTGGTACTGTGAGATCCTTTGCTCAGAATCAGGGTTGTCAGCGACAGGAGCCCTGGTCTCTGTGGTAAGTTACAGAGAGGAAGGACCAAAGAGCTTCCGCCAGTTCCCTTTCCCTTTCAGCTGGTTCAGTAGTTAGCTCCTGATTCTCACAGGTACTTCTACTGCATTAGTAATGTGTGAATGTGCCTTGGGCATGGTGAGGGGTGCTACAGAAGCGCAGGGTGGTAGGAAGAAGGTATGAAACTCACCAGTGGTGTTGGGTAGGGCTGAGAGGAGTGAAGGAAAATATGTGTTTTGTAGACTAGCTCTTGATGGGTGCGATTCTTGCCTTGTCAGCGTTGAAATGTTCTTATGCAGGTGGGAAGTCTCACCAGGGCTTTGGAGGGTCCTTTCTGGCATTTGTGGCTTGTCCAGGATGATGTGACTAACTGGAGTTTTCTTCTATTGCAGCATCCAGCCTTGCCCAGATGTGAAATATGGCAAACGTATCCATGTGCTGCCGATTGATGACACTGTAGAAGGGATCACGGGGAATCTGTTTGAGGTCTATCTCAAGCCATACTTCCTTGAAGCATACCGACCCATCAGGAAAGGTAATAGTGCCTGTTATTGAAGATGAAGTAAAGAGAATTTCTAGAAGCTTGCACAAATCTCTGCGAAGCCTTAGGCTGACATCTGTAGAGTGAGATTTGCTGGTCCTGATTTATTTTTATTCCTGATATTCAGAAGAAAGGGCTATATCTGCTGCTGGCTGGCAGAACAGCTTGATAGTTGCCCTGCGTTTTTTTGCTACATGAGATGGGAGAGCATCAGAAGAGGCTCAGGTAGAACACAGGAAATCTCGTTAAACTAAGTTGCTATCACTTGATGGAATTTTGGAGTTGCCTGCAATCAATTGGTGGGATGTACTGCTGCCACCCTGACTAAATTAACATCTTCAAAGTAATTTCCTTATCAACTGTCAGAGTGCTTAGGAGACCAAATGTGCTTTTAGATTTGTGTTAGTAGCACTTCCGATGGAACAAATAGGTCCTTATACAGTATAAACACAAGTTGAAGTTACCCAGCTTCTGTAGCCCATTTCAGCCAGGAGTCATAGTGCAGTGTTTTATGTATTATTCTGCTTCTGGAGACAACCAGTTTTAACTAGTAACTTCTAGTTATACCAACTTCAAAATGAATTTTTATTAAGTTAGGACTTTTTGCTTGTTTTAGAAATGTTAAATTGAAACTAAAGGGAAAAGTGCAATTCCTTGCCTTTGTGTTTTGTATTTAGGCACAGTATTCTTTTCTATTGTTTGCTGGTTTTGTTTGCTGTTTGTTACTGTCTGAAATTTGAGAACTTTAACTGCTACGGATCTAAATAGTACTCAGGTAGTTGCAGTACCTTCAGTTCTGGAGTTTAAAATGCTGAACAGCGTTAAAAATGTCAGCAGTATGTGCCTGCGTAACCCACTTCTTTGTCCTCTGGGGCTTCTGGTAGTACAGGGGTTGACATTTTGCAGACATGGGTTGCAGCAGTCTGCTGAAATGTAGAGTTTTACAGGTGACATCTTCTTGGTGCGTGGAGGGATGCGTGCAGTGGAGTTCAAAGTGGTGGAGACAGATCCAAGCCCGTACTGCATAGTGGCTCCAGACACGGTGATCCATTGTGAAGGAGAACCCATCAAACGAGAGGTGAGCAGAATCCTGCCACACAGTTCTCCTGCTGA